TGCCTCCTGAGGCGAAAGGAAGGCCTGCCCTCCCCTCCCGACGGAAAGCAACGGCCCGATCCCATCATGCACCACGCCCCTAATAGACAGGTAGTGCGGCACTCTAGGTACCCGGATTTTTTTTGGGGGGGGGGAGAGAGGAAGAAAGGAGAAGAAAACGGGCGAAAAGATATAACTGGAGCCACGGCATGCACTTAACCAGCCAACTACCGGGTCTTTCTATCCCCTGAGGGAAACTCCTCGCTTCGCCCCCCCGCCCTCAGGCAGCTTCGAGGGAGGGGGAAAATGTTGCACCGCAAAGTACTCAGCCCTTTCCCCCCCCCTCCCCGCCTGACTTCTCTTCCGCTAGGCCGCACCTCGTGTGGACAGACGCAGAAAGTCCGAGCCAGCCGTTCCTTCTCTCCCTTCTTTCTTCGGATCCCCTCCTTCCTTCTCCTTTGCCACCCCCTTCCTTCGGAAACACAACAACCACCCCTTAGCCGGATATGAAGTCACTTCCGTCATTTGTGTTTGGGAGGGAAGCCTCTATGGTTTTGTGCGCGCATCTCGTCACTTCCTGTGGGTAAAAAAAACCTACCTTGTCAAGGACGTAGGCGGCAGGTACCACAGAGTTGGCAAAGGCTAGAGCGACCGTAAAAATAACACGATAATCATAGCCGCGGTCATTTTTTTTCCAATTACGGGGAGGCTGTTTCACAAAAGCTGGATATTATACCGTTGTTGCTTGGAGTGGTAACTTCTACAGTCGCTATTCTTCCCACACCGGGAAAAAAGGGTTTAAAAAGCGTTGCTCAGTAAATCTAGGCCGAGAAGCTTGTTTGCATATTTTTAAGATTTAATCGGGACAAGCATTGGAAATGTGAGAAGATGCGTATGATTGCTCTGTGTCCCTTTATAAAACAATCATAGCCTGGTTAAAACTGAGCTCCGCTGACGCCAATGAAATTTACTCCCTGCTGGAGTTTTAGAACTGACATGTATTATTTTGTTATTCTGTTTGTTGTGAATCGCTCAGTGGCCCTGTCTCATATGGGCGGTATATAAATCAAATCAATAAGAAGAAGGAATGTGGTTCGCTGTGTTAAAATGCGTATCTAGACATTTCTGGATTTAAGACAAAAGTGTAACATACAACTGGTTAACACACTAACATTGATGAGTGATAATATAGGAATAGCTAGGAAAACTAGAGAGAGGGCAAGCATAGGCCTGGATTGCAGTCTTTTTAAGACTGCACTTACCAGTGAAGGAAAAATAGGTTTCTATTCAAACTTGACCAGTCCCTAGGTGGAGTAGGATCAATCCAGTTAGTACTGTCTCACTTCCATGTGGGGATCTTATTTAACCAGATACTAGGGACTCCAGATGTGAGCCCAGACATACAATGGACTTCACAACTTATCTACAAACTGGGTAACATGACCAGGATTTGTTTAATCAGTGGGAAAGGGTTCAAGTACTACAGCCTCTTGTACTAATAAATTCATTTTAGTCTTGCTGCATCTCTTCATTTAATCTATAAAACAAGAGTAACCATGTTTAGCTTTGAAGTTGTGGTAACAATTGAAGATGGGGGTATCTGCACCTATATACTGTACAAATATCCCTGCACAGCTGGAGTTAATGAGGGTCCAGCTCCTGGGGCCGGACCATCCACTCATCCAGTGGCATCGTCATCATCACTCATCCTTCAATCACTCCCTGAGCACTGCTCTCTTCTCGCTCACTAGCCACTCCAGGCAGAGGAAGACTAATTTCCCTGCACGGTTGCTGAGTGGCTAGTAGAGATGGGGGTATTCGTATACAAATATCCCAGCACAGGTGGCGATAACAAGGGTCCAGCCCCATGGGGCCACACAGTCCACTCACTGATCTGCTGCCGCGATTCTTCCAATGGCTTTGCAGATCATGATGGCTTTGCAACATCACTGCAAGATTGAAGAGTGGCTCACAGATTGTGATCTGCAGAGCCATTGGAAGAATCATGACGTCCGTCCGTGGCAGCAGCAGATCAGTGAGTGGACCCTTATTGCCACCTGTGCGGGGATATTCGTATTCATATACAAATAACCCCATCTCTAGTGCCTAGCAAGTGGGAAGAGAGCAGCGGTCCGGGAGTGATTGGAAGGATGCCAATGCTGTATATGTGAGTGGACTGTCTGGCCCCAGGGACTGGCTCAACTCCAGCTGTGCAGGGATATTAATATCCCTATTAACTATCAAATACTAGCACCTTTCAGCTGTACAAATTACCATGTTGCCTATAATGCTCAGAAGAGCTTGGGTCCAAGCTATCCCAAGACCATCTCCCTTTATGAGCCCGCTTGGGTGGCAGGATCATCAGGGGAGGACTTTCAGTCCCACCACCTTCACAAGTGTGTTCAGGATAATCGGGAGGACTTTCAGTCCTACCACCTTCACAAGTGTGTCTGGTGGGGACACAAGAGAGGGCCTTCTCTGTTGCTGCTCCCAGACTCTGGAACTCCCTCTCACAGCAGGCAAAATCTTCAGGGAAGCTTTGTATTAGCAACTGGCTGCCTGAGTTGGGTTTTTAAATAGATTGTTGTACCTTACTGTTTTGAGTATTACTTTTGTTGCTGTTTTTAATGTGGCATTTGGTAAATCCTTTTCGGTATTTGTAGCTGTCCGCTTTAAATATTATCTTTTAATTATTAAGCCAACTTGGGTCCTTTTTAAGAAGCCTGGCGTAAAAATATTTTAAATAAATAAAATATTTTATTGAAAAGAATTAACTGAACATGTGTGAGCAAAAGTGAATTGCTGTGTTTTGGGGTTAGCACTTTGTGCCCCTCCAGTTGTTGAAACTCCAGGTCCCCTCACTGTTGGTTATGCTGATTAGGAATGAAGGGAGGAATAGTCCCCTAACATGGGGAAATTTACAAGTTGCCTATCCCTCCTAATTCATTTGCAATATGTCATTTTGATAGTTGGATGAGTGCAACTGTATGCGTACAGCTTAGTTTGGGGGCATACAAAATAGTGGAAATACAAATGGAAGGACATATGACATGCCTGGACAATAGCTAAACTGGCAAGTAAATACTAGCCCTAACTTCTCAGATTCACTGTCCCACTTTGTTGACTTTCTATCCATCAGTTCAGGTTTACTCCACTGAAGCCCCGTTCTGTATTTTGCCTTATTTCCCATATTTCTTGTCTCTTCTTCCACATTTACAATACCTAACTTATCTGCCTCAGCCTCACATTCTTCCAACCATCATTTTTCTTCATCCCTTCTTTCCTCAACTGTAAAACTGTATCCTGTCACCTTCTCTGACAACTTTGGTTAAGGTCAGTCTTCTTGCTCCTGTCCTTTTCCTATTGCTTGGCAAACTCTCAACAGCCTAACTATGCTATTGCTATTAAACATTCATCATCTATTTTCAGAACTCTAATACATTTGCCATTTAAAGCATAGAATGGTTCTTGCTACACATGTTCTGAGCAACATGGGAGTCAACCATTGATATTTCAGATGCTCATATCATTTCTGCTGGCAATGGTGCCATGAGATACTTCAAAAATTCTGGAAAAATCCTAACACTGTTCACAGTGGACTCTGTACATTAATGTGCACAACATCTTGTTTCAGCATTGCTTTTGCAGATGCCTCTGTGTCATGCAAAACAATGGGTCAGTAGTTTCAATAGAAAGCTGTTCGCAAAATACTGGATAGTCTGCTACACTTGTAGGTAATGGTTTAAATATGCACATTCTGAAGCTGAATCCAGACACAGAAATCCACTAGTTTCATACGGTTACCAATGTTCAGAAGTGCACATGCACAGCATTTTAAAAAACAAGCATGTGAAGAAAAAAACATAGGCTGGAAGTTCAAGGAAAGCTTGGGATGTACAACTTCTTTAACTTGGGATGTGCAACTTGTGTAACAATAGTAATAAGCTCCTAAGGCAAACATTGATCAGACAAAACTAACCTTTGTGATAAATGATGTTCCATAGAGGAGGAACTTGCATTGTGAGATTCAGTCAACCATTCTTACGACTTTTAAGAATAGCAGGCTGGGAATGCTTTTCATCTAGAACAGAGGTCCTCCAACCCCTGGTCGGTGGCCCGGTGCCTGAGCCAGACCGGCCACAAAGACAGACCTCCCACCACCACCCCACGCACTCACCCTTGCACAGCCTGTTTGCGCCTGCGTGCATGCTTCAGCATGTCCGCATAAGCACCGTGCTGCCATTTGCGCATGCGCACGAGCACGGGGGTGCCCCACCTTCCCCAGCCAGTCTGTGGGGTGAAAAAGGTTGGGGACCTCTGATCTAGAAGGCCGAGTTGAACATACTGATCTGTTTGTGTACATAGGTAAGATTGCTGATACGCTGGGTTTAGAAAGGCTCAAAGAACTTACTCTTGACTCATTTGGTAGTTTATTTGTTTGACACCATAACTATCTGATCCCCACATATATGTTGTTAAAATGAACTACATGAATACAAATTTTACACACAAGCTCTCATTCACATCAGCTACGTGAAGGTACATCAAGAGCACAAGCCTAAAACAAAATCAGTTTGAAGATGTATGCTCCAATTTTAAGCATGTTAATTTGCAACAAGTCCCACTAAGGTCAGTGACGCCTTACTAATGAAGTCTAGCATCAGAATTGAAATACAAACATAAAAAAGGTAACTATTTACAATTTATGATTCAATGCTGCTTTTGCTTATATTGAAGATGTATGAAAAGTACTAAATTCAAGTTGCAAGCAAAAGTACTGAAAAATAATACTGATCTGAAGAGTAAGCATGTACTTTCTGCTAGAACGGGACAGAAATTGAAGGCTCTAAGGAAACACTCATAAGATTTTTTTTGTTAAACTTGGCTATGTTTTTCTACTCGCTACCTAACACACGAATACTAGAAGAAAATGTTTTCATCTTTTAAAGAAAACACAAATTCTAATAAAGGTTTTCAACATTGAAATGAACCTATGGAAGTCCCTTGAAAATATCATCAACTGGACTTAACTGGAATGTTCCAGAGGAATAAAATAATAACTGTTTATATTAAACCAAAAAAAAAAAAAGTTGATGGGAGATGTTCTTGAAGCCTGCAAAACCAAATGCTGATGAAATTCTGTATGGTCTTCAAAATGTTGTAAAAATCCTTCAGTAGCTTCAAGCATCAAAATCTGTTATCACCTTTTAAAAAAAACAAACATTATGCAGATTTTGCCATAACATTAAAACACAATAACAGAATTATACTTTTCATTCTACTAAAATCTATATAGTGTTTTTCCAATTTTACTGTATTGAGAAACATTAAAAATAAAACCATTTTCCTTAAATTCTCAAGCCTTTCATCTCAACATTTAAGTCTCCTTTTTCTGTTTCTGATCAGCCATTTTTTCCATGTGTTTCTGCAAGAAAGAAAATAAGGAGGGTTGAGTCAAAATTTTGCTAAGCAAGGTCTTAGTGTGCATAGTCATACATGGCCTGGTTTCGAGCTTAAAAACATAATTCATTCAAACTGGAATCTTATTCAGGTGGAGTGGTTAGCAAAATTGCATTTGATGTATCTCATGACTGGAATGCTGCAACTGATATGTAAACTATACAATCAGAATCAGGTACTTTAATGGAACACCTATATTTGAAGTTCTTCCAGTGGACCTCTGTGATTCACACGCTGGGTAATCTGCGCATGTGCAGAGCCTCGTCGGAATATTCTAGAGCTTCTGCAGTAGCAAAAAAACCCTTTAGTGTAGACCCCTCCCCCTTGGCATATGTACCTTGGTGCCAAGACTCTCCCTTCAGTTAGGTCAACCACCGCAAAAAAAAAAGTAAGCATGGTGTGACAGTGGGGAGGTTGAGTTCAGGATGTGTGAATCACAGAGGTCCACTCAAAGAACTACAATTACAGGTGGGTAACCTGTCGTTCTTTGTGGCCTCTGTGAATCACACCCCAGGTGACTAACAAACTGTCTTACCCAGAGGAGGGTGTCATGCCAAGGTAGAGGATAACACAGCATGTCCCAAAGCATCAGACTTCTGCTGAACGTCCAATCTGTAATGCTTGATGAATGTGGATGGCTGTGATCACGTGGCAGAGGTGCAGATGTCCGGGAGGGGAATGCCGCAAAGAAATGCCGTAGATGTTGCCACTGCCCTGATAGAGTGAGGGCGAACAGATTGTGGAGCTGGTAATCTAGCAAGCTGGTAAGCTAGGTGAATGGTGGAAGCAACCCATTTGGATATCCTCTGCAATGTAACTTGAAGCCCCTTAGTGGGTAGTTGGTAGCTGACAAAGTCAAGCTGAATGTCTAAAGGGTTGTGTGGGGGCTAAGTAGAAAGTGAGAGCCCTTCTCATGTCTAAGGCATGAAGGATCTTTTCCTGAGGAGTAGATGGAGACTGTATGGAGAATTCGTGCAGGGAAATCGCCCCAGAGGGAGACCACAGCTGCGATACAAGGATATCTGCAAGTGGGAGTTGAAGGCCTTAGGAATGGACCTCAACAGATGGGAAACCTTGACATCTGAGCGTTCAGCCTGGAGGCAGGCAGTGCAGCACAGCCTCTCCCATTTTTTAGAGACACTTGTCCAGCAGGCCGAGGCAAAGAGGCAGTCCCGAAAGCAGCAAAACCAGGGAGCTGGACAGGGGACAGATTGTATTTGTCTTCAGTGTGGAAAGGATTGTCACTTTTAAATTGGCCTTCTCAGCCACACTAGACGCTATTCCAAGTCCTCCATACAGAGCACATTACCACAGTCTCTCGAGACTGAAGGATGCCTAATCAGATGGAGACAGGAAAAAGGACGGGAGAACCAACGGTTGGGACAGATGAAACTGGGAGACAACTTTGGGCAAAAAAGAAATAGCTACACACAGTTTAACCTTATCCAGATAGAACTGGAGATAAGAGTAATCAAATTGTTTTAATCAAATAGCCGCCTAGAGTGGTCGAAATGACTAGATAGGCGGGGTATAAATGCAATAAATAAATAAATAAATAAATAAATAAATAAATAAATAAATAAATAAATAAATAAATAAAACAAATTATAAGGCTGCAAGTTCACTTGCACGACGACCCGATGTAATAGCAATAAGGAACACTGTCTTAAAGGTGAGTAGTCTGAGATCAGTTAACGCTAAAGGCTCAAATGGGGTCCTTGTAAGTTGTTGAAGGACTTCTGTCAGGGACCATTGAGGTGATTGTGGGCAGATGTCTAAATACATGTGCGACAGTCCTTTAAGGAAATGCTTCAGAGTAGGGTGTGCAAAAAACTGAGCTGTGAAGAGGTTGGCAGCTGATAAGAGAAGACTGTAGCAAGACAGACCTTCAGCGTGTGCAAAGCAGGAAAACGATGGCTTGGTCCAGTTCCTACTCTTGGACCTGAGATTCCTTGCGGCTGAGAAGATCTGCTAGATTGTTGTCCTAGCTGGCTATGTGTATTGCCATGAGGCAAACATGATGGGACAGGCACCATTCCCAAAGGTCGACAGTGAGATAAAGGAGGCTTGGAGAGTGGGTGCCCCCTTGTTTGAGAATGTAGTACATCGTGGTAGTGTTGTCAGTAGCAATTTGAACCATTTTGCTGGTAAGATGGTTTCTGAAAGCCTTGCAAGCTTTTATCACCACTAAAAGTTCCAGTTTGTTGATATGGAGTAGCCTCCCTCTTTGTAACCATTGAGCATGAATCTGCAGGGATTTGCAATGAGCACCCCAGCCTGTGAAGCTGGCATCGGTGGTGACTTGTATTTGAGAACGTGGCTATTGGAAAGATTGACCCATTGTAAGATTTTAGGTGGAGCACCACCAGGAAAGCTGGGCGGCGAGTTCTAGGGTGACCCGTTACAGAGCATGAGGTGAGTCTGTTGTTGGGTTGAACAAAGCCAGGAACCATGCTTGGAGTGACCTCATTTTGAGATATACTTGTTGCACTACAGAAGTCATGGACGCAATGGTGCCTAACACACTGAACTGTCAATGCAGGCACCAGTGCATGAGAGGTAAAGATGTGAAGCAGGGATACGAACGAAACGCTTGTCTGTTGGGAGGATTGCTTGAGCGTGTTTGGAGTCTGAGTGCTCCTATGTAATGAACCAGCCTTGTAGGTTTTAACTTGGATTTTTGTATGTTTACAGCAAGGTCGAGATTGTAGAGAAGAGACAGTGTGAAGTGGATGTCTCGTGCCTTGTGACGGGAGCGAGCTATGAAGAGCCAGTTGTTGATGTATGGAAAAAATTTTATTTTGTGAAGTCTGAGGTAAGCTGCTACAGGAGCCATGCATTTGGTAAAAACCTTGGGAGCTGTTGCAAGTCCAAATGGGAGCCTTTTGAACTGACAGGCTTGGATTCCTAAGCTGGAAGGTATGGCCTGTGAGAGGGATGGATGGATACATGGAAGTAGGCATGCCTTCGGTCTATGACTGCAAACTAGTCTCTTTTGTGGAGTAGGGGAGAACAGATTCAAGGGTAACCATATGGAATTTGGTGGTGATGATGTATTGATTTAGTTCCCTGGGGTTGAGGATGGGGCGGAGGCCTCCATCTTTTTGGGAATGGTAAAATAATGAGAGAAAAAACCTCTGCTTATCTGGTGTACCGGTTCTATAGTGTCTTTGAGTAGCAATACTTGTATTTCTTTCATCCTACAGGGTTTGAGATGGAGGTCTAACTGTGTACAATGATGGAGGGAGCTGGTGGAATTTTATGTGGTACCCACTTCAGATGATGGAAAGGACCCTAGCATCTGTGGTGATGCTTTCCCATGCAGGTAAGTGCTTCCAAAGGGCCGGAGAAGGATTGTGAGTGTGCTGGGATCTTGGCCGGCTGTATGTCAAACATGATGTTTAGGCTTGTGGTCATTGTGCCTAGTTGTAGCCTGCTGGCGGGCTTTGGCCTGGTAAGGTTGTTGTTTGTAGTAAGGCATGTAAGATGTTTGCCTCTGAGGTTCATGCTGCAGTTTTTGGTAGGAGTTGTAAGGGTGGTGCCACTGAGTGCGCTGAGGACGTTGCTGGTATGTAGGGTAAACTCCGCAACGTCTAGCAGCTGTTCTTTTCTTTTGGACATTTTTGAGGATGTCGTCTGTCTCCACATTAAAAAGATCTGCCCTGTCGAACAGGAGGTCTTCAACATGCGCGTGTACATCTTCAGCGAGGCCAGAGGTTCTCAGCCAAGAAAAACCCCCAAGTGCTACGGAAGTAGCCACGGATTTGGCTGTGGTATCAACAGTGTGTCTAGCAGAAAACATTTGTTGTTTGGCAACCAAGAGTCCTTCCTCTTGAAAGGTTTGTGCCAGCACCCTTTTGTCTTCTGGGAGTGCATCAATGAAGGTGGACATATTCTGTCCAGGACCGCCTGTGCTGAGTAAAGATGGAAGCATGGAAATGTGAATTGTGGTCTTTAAAGACTGGATTGTAGAGATGATCCACTGGTTCAGTTGTGGGTCTATGCATTTGGCGATTCAGAGATTTAGCCATGCGCACCATGAGTTTGGCATAAGTTTGAAAATCCTCCACTGGAGAGTCTGCATCTGCTAAATCAGAATCTGGAGACGTTAACAAAACAGATGCTCACACTGTTCGGCTTCGTGCCATGAATCAATCAACTGATGATCAATATCGATGTTGAGAGGCTGCGCCTCTAAGTACTGATGTAGACGCCTAGCTGTTGATGTTGCGTCCATGGACAGTGGCTGGTATTGAGGACCATCAACTGGTACAGACACTGATGGACCATCCTTGGACAGAGGTCGATATCAAAGATCGTCAACCACTGTAGGCATCAAAGGTGCATCCATGGACAATGGTCGATATCGATCATCATCGATATCTGAGCCAGTATCCAAATGGTGACGAAATTGAGGATGCTGTCGAGACAATAAGCATGTTGATGGACCACAATGGATGACTGTGGAACAGACACTGGTGATGCTGAACGGGATGAACAATCTCTATCATCCTGATGTACCGGAAAATAATGGCTTGTTGGTGCTGCGAATGCACTATGAGCCGAAGGGTACTGATCAGCTGCTCTGGGTTTTTAAGGTGCCAGCTTGCAATAGATGTCATGCAGTCCATGACGATCCTGATAATAAGGCAGTTTCAACACCAAGGGCTCTCATGAGTGAGACCCTTGTTATGGCACTGCTGCCAAACCAAGGGAAAACAACGGGTTGATATTGCCTGGCAGGCCTGGCAGTTGGGCACCGATCAGGGCAAATGGCTACCCAATGATGGTGCTGAGCGTGAATCGATGCTGCACATGAGGGCAAGTGGACACTCTTATGTGGCTGGTGCCCTTGATGGCGTGTCAGAGGCCAAGGTGGTAGGCCTGCTGGAACAGAGTAGGGCAGAGTGTCAGGATGCGTTTCCACTCCATGGACATTGGGCTAAGCAACTGGGGAGGGCTCACTAGGAGAGCCAGACTGATGAGGGCTAGCAGAAGACAATGTGAGCTGGTCAAGCTCATTCTGGTGACTGTGATGGTAATAGTTGGTGGGATGGAAATCCCTCTTCATCTGAGGGTGAGCCCATGCATACAAGAATCCATATCCGGATTCTGGTAGCTATGGAGTTGGAGAAGTAACTCTGGAATATTTGGCCTTGGAAGATTTAGCCTTTTTCAATGTTGAGGGTTCTGGAGCCAAAGATGCGTCGGTGGACGGTTTCCGTTTAGTTGTTGTTTTCAATGTCGAGGGTTTTGATATTGAATATTTGGTTTTGTGCATCTTTGTTGTTTTAATGGATGTTGAGGGGACATCGAAGCAGGATGCAGTGGCCGAAGGACGCTGTTTTGTCGCTTTGGAAATGGCTTTGTCCATGGCCTTAGCTTGCGAGGTGGATTTGCAAGAAGGTTAAGTCGAAGGTTAAGTCTGGAGAGGCGACTGTGGAGAGCTCTGTGTTTAAAGTTTTTACAGTGAGGGCAAGCAGAGGTTTTGAGCCTTACAGAGACTGAAAAGACATTTAGCATGGCAGTCTGAAAATTTGATATTGTTGTCACAGACCACACAGCATTTAAGCGGACACACCGGGCCCATCAAACGAGGGGGAAATGGTTTAGGGAAAGGGGGGGGGCTTCGGCCCTAAGGCTGGAGCATTTTTTTTCCTTTCTGCTTTTTCTTTCTTTGAAATAATAAGCATAATAATAACAGAGAAGATTTAGAGATTAAATAATGGACCTTCTTTCTTTTTAGATTAAAGGCTCACAGACGCAATGAACGAGGCTCTCAACACGGCGGTTGAAAAAACTGAAGGGAGAGTCTTGGTGTCAAGGTACATATGCCAAGAGGGAGGGGGCTACACTAATGGTTTTTTTGCTACTGCAGAAGCTCTGGAATATTCCGACAAGGCTCCGTGCATGCGTGGATTACCCAAGATATGACTGACAGAAGCCATGAAGAACTATGAAGTACTTAAATCATCCTGAGTGGTACCTAACTGAAGTCTGTGTAAACACAATGGCCAATTCCATCTCAATAGCTGAATCCCTCATTAGAAAAATTAAATCAGATTAAGAACAGTGAACAAGGTTTCTAATTTGCCATGTATTATTTAAACAGACTCTTGAAAAAAGTACCTATCCATATCCCCCTAAGATTTTAAACCTTTTCCTTAAACACATGATGCATACAAATGCACCCTGAGAATTTTTTCTTACCTTTAACTTTTGATAATGTGCAAGGCTGCTGCAGTGGACCTTTCTTGCAGCATCTTCATTGGTGTAGAACAAAGAACACAATTTGCAGTAAAAGCCAGTTCTTGGCACCACATAATTTACACCTAGACAGGAAAACAGACAGACACACATATTATTGCAAATTTTATGCAGGGTACCTCAAAGAACCAGCAAGGGAATTTCTATTTTTTCTGTTTGCTCTGAAAAATATGCTGACAGCAGAGATCCTTCCCTCTGCATGTTCATAAATTTAAAAAGTCATTCTATGCCAGTGCCCCTTAATAAAAGGCCAAAAAGTAGTCAGATACTGTTCAGGTGTCTATATCTAATACATAATTACACAGGGAGTGCAGAAGGTATTCTTACCGACAGGAACATTTGGCTGATATGGTCCAATGCTATATTCATCAGGGGCAGCATGTTTTTCACATGCAGTCTTAGTTTCTTCTAAATCGACATTTTCTTTTTTCTCTCCTTCTTGTGTCGCTGTGCTCTCAGATGCTTCAGACTGCTCCACATTAGAGTTTTCTGTTTTGCCACCATTCTCCAATGCCTCATTTTCCTGCCCCATCTCTTCTGTTAAACTGTCCTCAGTCTTCACAACAGACCTCATCATGCCAGACTTCCGTTGTTTCTGATGCTCTGAATCTTCCTCATCACCAACTTCATCGAGTGTAACAAAACCTTCCATGCTCTTTGGAAATCCACCTACGTGTCTCTGTTGAAACAATTTATTCTACCTATTTATTACATTAGACTCAGTGTTTCTTACTGATGTAGTTTGTGACAATCTTATATTCATGTCTCAAGATGCAATTCTGAAACACAGAAGCTCACTCTTCTTTCTATAGTGATCACCAAAGAAGTGGGTTTGGAGACCAATGGGGCCTCCATGGCCACAGAACATACTAACCGTGGGCATTCAGGATGGGGCTTAATGTTCTGTTATTTAATCTTCTGTTCTGTTAACACAAAAGAGCTTCTGTACAATGGAACATGCCTTGACACTACAGGGAGCACATGGAAGCAACAACCTCCACAAGCAGACACACTCCCATGGAGGAAGCTAATGCCGGGTATCTATTGCACTCACATATGATTCAACATACCCATTTCTATTCAAGCACATGATTTAAAACAGAGTTTCTTCCAATGATTCATATTATGGACCTCACAGTGGTTAAGTGGGGTCATGAAAATTCATGTTATCTGTCACTTTCTTTGATACTGCTTATTCAATGTTTCCTTCCCTAGACTAATATCAGGAATCACTGACAGAATACTAATACATGTTTCATCTTTTCAACAATTATTCTGCTGAATGTTTTATTATCTGCTTTGTTAGGACAAGACATTTTATGACGTTGCTACAGATTACAGTCACCTATGCCAGTAAAGAAACTATGGGCTGATCTCTTCAAAATGGCAGCTGGGTGCTGTTCCTCCCCCTTCCCTTCCACGTGGGTAAAATGGTGCCTGCTGGAGAAAATAGCATGCATGTCCCTTATGCCTTGTTGCCTACGCATCAACTGGATGAGGGGAGGAAGAGAAGAAGGAAGAGGAATCCCTGTGTGAGTGATCTGTACACTGAACTTTGAAGTAAACTGGAATGGGGAGAGGAATTGACATGTTCTGGCCAGCTCTGTTCTGCTGGGAAGGCTTGGGTGGATCTCCTTCAGAACAAATGCTCTTGATCCAATAGAAAATCTTTGGATGCAAGGGATGCTCATCAATGACTGGAGACAAGGGAGTCTTGAGCCCAATTACTGATCCCACTGAGCTCTCCAGAAGGGCACTGGATGGCGCATGGGGCAGATCAACTATGTGGACTTTCTACTTGCACAGGGAGCTTGGTGAAATTGGCTGGCAGAGCCTCAGGCTCAACTACTGAATGCCTCAGGGAATTAGAACGTCAATAAAGAACCCTGGGATATCTTCTTGGTCTGACATCTGAGAAAGAAAAGCAGTAGAAAAGCAGAATTTTTTTTAAAAAATAGAAGCAGTGAGGAGATTGACATAAGTGTCCTAGTGAGGCAAAGGCAGGAAATCAGACTACAGTGCTGGGTTGCCGTCTCCATTAGTGGGATGGAGCTAAGCACCAGCCAATGTAAAAAGACTGGTGCTTAGCTCCTGCCTACCAAGGTGAATGGGAAGGACTACCTATTGTAAGGATGTCCTCTCTCTATAGGCAAAATAATTAGACTTCTTGTGGAAAAACCAACAATCTTTCCTAGTAATAAACTTTTTTACTTGCCTTTTTGAGTTTTTTTGCTGCTGCAGCACCATCTTCAGTTTTCGCAGCAGTATCATCACCAGTTGTCTCTTTTTCTTCAGTCGTCGCATCACCTAAGTTTGCCACATCAGTCTCGTCTGCTGCTGAGCTGCCACTCTCTAGTAAGGCTGCTGCTTCTTCATCATCTACTAACAGTTCATCTTCCGATTCAACAAGTAAGGCAGACTCTGTTTGGTCTGCCTGCTCACTGTCTTTTGCATCTTGCTTCTCTGATTCATCTCCCTTCTCATCTTTATCTTCAGTACTGTTGGTTTCCATTTTCTCACTGTCATCAGTCTTACATTTTTTTTCACTCCCAGAGTCTTTGCTATCTGGAGAAAGACCTCGCTTTCTATAAAAGAAGAAAACAAATATTGCTATCCATTTCATTTCGTGTTGCATTTCTAAACACACTAATCTAAAAGATTATTACCTTGGTTTATCTTTCTTTGTCAAATCTGCTCCTTTGTTGGGAATCTGAAAAAAAATGAAACCCTGTATTAAAGTGTAGAAGATAATAAGCCTTGTGAATTTCTGCTTTGGGAGTATGCTCCATGGTTGTTCAAGTGAAAGAACATTTCCATTCTTCAAACACAATGCTTTTGAATGCAACTCAATTAGTCACAGTTAAATATTGCAAGACACCAAATTTTCAAAATCTGCCTCATAATCTTCATGACAAAGGTTCACTTTAGCCACACTAAAAGAAACACTAATAACATTAATAATAGTGATGTTAAGTATCTAGGATGTGGGACTGATTTCCTCTCTGAAGTTACAGCAATATGGAGGAAAACAACAACAACCAAACATGAATAGATCTTGTGCAAAGTTCTGTCTGCTTTAAACAGTGTTCATAACACAAACCCTAACCTCTGCAGCCCAACGGGCATTCAGTATGAATGTAACAGGCTATTATTCTGCAAACAAAAAACAGGAACACAAGCCTTTCTATTCATAGGTATATGAATATATCTATCCTAAGACTGTAGCATATGCAAGAAAACTTGAAGTGTTTAAAGATGCATCACAGAGTTTGCATTTTCCCTGGATGTTTCTGTCTAATCAGTCACCCTCCTTCTCAAATGTGGAGGTAGCAGAGAGGTATGCACAATAGAATACTTTTTGTTCTTATGCTATGCTTCCAAAACTCAAAACAACAAGGATTCTTGTAGTCCCTATTTCTCCAACCATAAAGATCAGTGGAAGTCTGGCTAATCTGAAGCTAGTTAGCTAACTAAAAGTCATTCATGCTGATCAATTTCCTCAGTCAAGAGTTACAAATCAACTTATACCAAAATGACTGGTTACCCACCTGTAATTGTAGTTCTTCAAGTGGACCTCTGTGATTCACACCCTGGGTGATTTGCGCCTGCGCGGAGCCTCACTGGAAGATTCTAGAGCTTCTGCGATAGCAATAAACACATCAGAATATGCCCCTCCACACCCGTCTAAGTACCTTGGCGCCAAGCATCCCCTTTCAGTTGTGTCAACCACTGCTTAATAGTAAGCTAACAATGGCGTGACAGAGGGGAGGACAGGTGGGATGTATGAATCACAGAGATCCACTAGAAGAACTACAATTACAGGTTCTTCTTTGTGGCCTCTGTGAATCACACCCTAGGTGACAAACTGTCTTACCCGGAGGCAGGGTGTCAAGCCAAGGTAGAGGATAACACAGCATGTCCAAAAGCATCAGACTTCTGCCAGAGGTCGAGTCTATAAAGACAGATAAATGTGGACAGCTGTGCCCAAGTGGCAGAGGCGCAGAGGTCCAGAAGAGGTACGCCATGGACAAAGGCTGTAGAGGCTGCCACTGCCCTGGTGGAGTGAGGGCGAACTACTGTAGGGGCTGGTTGTCGAGCAAGTTGATAAGCCAAATGAATGATAAAGGCAACTCATCTGGAGATAGATTGGGAAGTCACCTGATGGCCTTTTGTAGGTAGTTGATGGCTTATGAAGAGACAAGATGACAGTCTAAAAGGTTGAGTACATTGGAGAAAAAAAGCAAGAGCTCTTCTGACATCCAACGTATGGAGTATTTTTTCTTGATTTGAAGGTGGTGATGGAAAAAATGGAGGAAGGACAATTGGCTGGGAAGGATGAGAGACAATTCTGGGGAGGAAGGAAATGTCCATGAATAACTTCACCTTATTGGGAAAAAATTGAAGATAAGGATAATCATAGCGTAAAGCTGCTAATTCACTAGCTCATCGAGCTGAGGTGATGACTACGAAAAATGCTGTTTTAAAGGTGAGGAGTCTTAAGTCAGTTGTAGCTAGTGGCTCAAAAGGAGCTTCGGTAAGGTGTTTCAAAACAAGAGTTAGTGACCACTGTGGAGAGAGAGGTCGAGTATCAGGGTAAATACGAGAGAGACCTTTAAGAAAATGTTTCTTTGTTGGATGTTTAAAGAAGTCTGCAGCTAGAGAATTTGGAGGTTGGTATGATATTATTGCCAAAAGGTAGACTCTCAGAGATGGCTCCTTGATAATTAGCGACTCGCATGGTGAAGGCTGCAGAAGAGTAAAGCCATCTACCCATGGAATCTATTCGTCAGCTGTCTTTGTTTGGTGGTATGAGAGATTGTCGGTGTCAAGATCTCTATTGAGATATTTCAACAAATATAGAATTTGGAGCTGGTTGTTTTTGGAGGAAAATGACTCCTGGGTCATGGATTCTATAGAGGTTATCAATCTGCTTAGACATGGTATGGGAGGAAGCTGGTTTTGTACTAAGGAGAGTTGGCAACATCGATATGTGTACCGGAATGGTTGTATTTTTAGAGATCAGATCACATAGATGATTGGCTGGTTCTGTCGAGGGTCAGTGGATTTGCAGATCAAGGGATTTAGCCATGCAAATCATAAGTTGGGTATAGGTCTGGAAAACCTCTGCCAATGATGTCAGTATCAAAAATGTCCAACTCTGGAGAAGTAAGTAATACTAGTATCAACAATGTCCGACTCTGGAGAAGTAAGTAATACCGATAGAGTCTGTGGCCAAGATCCATAGTCAGAGTCATTGAGGTCGTGTCTGGAGTTGACGGACTGTCGATCAACTTCGGTGTTGAGAGGCTGAGTTTCGTACTATTGCAGGTTATTAGTCGAAAAGATGGAGGCAGCGTGTCCATGGCCATCTGTTGATGTCGAGGATCACTTACACTGAAAGATGGTGGTTGAGCGTTGACGGACCTCGACTGGTAGGGATGGACCTCAGTGTCAAGCTCAGTGTCATAAGAGTGCCAGGGTTGATGACTTCAATTTACCAGAGGACGGGAACTGTGTTGATGTAATGATGGAGCATGTGTCCATGGACCAGGATAGATATTGAAGATTGTCAATATTACAGCCTGTGTCTCTGTGATGTCGAAATGGAGGTTGCTGATGCGATGGCATAGCAGTAGAATAAAAGGACGCTGGCGATGCCGAGCGTGAAGAGTGATTTCCATCATCTATTGTAGTAGGAAAGTATCGGGAGGCTGGTGCTGCAAAAGACTCATGTGTGGATGAAATCTGCTCGACGGTCTCGGGTTTTTTAGATACCAAGTGGAGAGCAGGTTGAGGTATAGCTACCTCTCGGTGATGTGGCCACTTCGACACCGATGGTTGTCGAGACGTAGGCCGACTACTAGATGGTATTTTCAAACAGGGTAAAACACCTGGTCGACTAGTCAGTGCAGTCTGTCGAGCAGAGCACTGGTCGGGGCAAATGGCAACCCGATGCATGTGCTGAATGTGGGTTTGAATGAAGTGAGCTGTCGAGATTGTTGTTGCCGGTTCTGGTTAGGGATCAGTGGGCGATCCAAGGGCATCGAATATGGAACTCCATCCTCGGGCGATGGAATAACCGAAGGATTGTTGGAAGGCTGTGGACTGGGAGGATGTTAATTGGTTGACTCTATCATCCCATTCTAGAGACTGAGAACAGGGTTGATGGGACGGACGTCTGTCATCATCTGAGGGAGATCTGAACAAAATTGATTCAGAGAGTTGTGGTTGTGGTGGGATGTCTGTAGGCTTAGACTGTTTAGCTCATTCAGGAGGAACAGGCTCTGGAGCTGGAGCAGCTTAAGTAGATCTCTTGACGTTTAGAAGTTGCTTCCGAAGTCGAGGCTTTCGGTATTGAGGATTTCTATTTGTGTGTCTTCGAGGTCTTAGATGATGCAGATGGAGAATTGGAATTAGCTGGTGTAGTCGATGGAAGTTGTTTTGATGATTCAGTAATGGCTTTTTCCATTGCTTTGGTTTGGGAAGTGGCCCAACAGGGAGGTTGGGCCATTTGAACTGGTTGTAAGGACTGTTCCCAAAGTTGGAGTTTTAGCCTCGAGAGGCAAGATTGAAGAACTTCATGCTTAAAATTTTTGCAATGGGTACAGGAAGAAATTTGATGTTGTTCTCCCAAACAGAAAAGGCACACAGCATGTCCGTTGGAAAGTGGGATCTCATTATCACAGACAACACAGTGCTTAAATGGGCCCGAAGAGGCCATGAATAGGAGAAAATAATTGAGGGGAAAAAACAATGATTAAGGGGAGGTGCTGAGGCAGAAGGCCGAGCGAGGAAAAGGAAAAAATCTCTGATGATAAAAAAGACTGGTAACAGGAAGGAATCAAGAATAAGCTCTCTTTCATTCACAGAAGCAGAATTATGAGGCTCTTAACACGGCAGTTGAAAGAAAGTGAAAAAGGACGCTTGGTGCCAAGTTACTTATACAGGTGTGAAGGGGCATATTCTAATGTATTTATTGCTACCGCAGAATCTCTAGAATCTTCCAATGAGGCTCCGCACAAGCACAAATTACTCAGGGTGTGATTCACAGAGGCCATGAAAGACAAGGTATCAATAAAACATATGTATAAATAATGCTACTGTTACTTTGAGATATGAGAGAGACTAATTGGGGAGATCTTATCCTGGAGAATACAGACCTGGCATGCATAACCGAGACGTGGATCAACGGGGAGGGTGGTCCTCCCCTGGCTCTTGTCTGTCCGTCCGGTTATGCTGTCCAGCACCAGGGTAGACTGGAGGGGCGGGGGGGAGGGGGAGCCCTTGTTTATAAATCCAGCTTGGAGGTTAC